TAGATGTGTGTGTGGGTTAATTGTGGGTGTAGGTGTGGGTGTGGGTGTGGGTGTAGGGAACCGTGGAGGAGTTAGAAGGTGTTGGTGTTGGCAGTAATGAGGTTCCCGTGTCCCGTGGTCCCGATAATAGGGCGACAACATTCTTACTTGATTGCTGCCTTCCTCAGCATGTCAGAGCCACGCCATTATCCTGGAGGAGTAAGAAGAGGATGAGGATTAAGAAGAGGAGGAGGAGGAATGAAACAAATGAGATAAAGAGGAAGTATGTTGAGGAATGTAGGAAAGAGATAAATGAGAGAACGTAGGATGCGTTGAAGGAAAACTAATATGTGAACAGATTGATGTTGTCCTGAAGGGCGAAGATACAAGAGAGAGATATCAAGTAATATACACGTGGGAAATACTGGAGGGCCAGGTACCAAATCTACACATTTAAATCATACTGGAGTGAACGATATGGAAGAAAATTCAGAATAGAGCCAGGAGTGCCATAGGCACAATCAGAAAACACGGTATAAACATCAGAGGTCCGCGGTTGTTCAATGTCCTCCCAGGAAGCATAAGAAATATTGCCGGAACAACCGTGGTCATCTTCAAGAGGAAACTAGATTGTTTTCTCCAAGGAGTGCCGGACCAGCCGGGCTGTGGTGGGTATGTGGGCCTGCGGGCCGCTCCAAGCAACAGCCTAGTGGACCAAACTCTCACAAGTCAAGCCTGACCTCGGGCCGGGCTTGGGGAGTAGAAGAACTCCCAGAACCCCATCAAACAATAATCAACCAGGTAAGTCAAGCCTGGCCTCGGGCCGGGCATGGGGAGTAGAAAAACTCCCAGAACCCCATCAAGCAGGTAATAGAACAAGAAAAGCCTACGTTGTAGAAATAGTAAATAAAGTAAATATGAGAACAGGAGGAGGATGCTTTCAAAGGAGGAGAAACAAAGAGAGCAAGACGTATTAAGGGAGAGGAGAAGAAATAAGGCAGTGGCACTTCCTTCCACTCTGGCAGATAGTACCTTTTGACATCCTGACGCCCGCATACCCCACCAAGAAATCAATCACAAACAACCCTCATGCTCAGCTTGATGCTAAATTAAGCACCATAGAACACATTCACAATATACAAACTGAAAACAACATAGCACAGACGTTCTCCCAGCTCGAATAATACTTGGCTACTGGTATCTCTGGCAGTTAGGCTTGTATAGGGATCTAGATGAAGTAAAGTGTAGTGTGTGGACAAAGACAGGGACACACACTCGAACACTATGTCTTGGACAGTAGTAAAATTGAGCCATTTATCGATAAATCTGAAATCACGTTGCATGAAATGGCAAACCATCTTATTATTAAGGATAAAATACCTGAAAGTCTTGCACTGTATCCATATTTCACTTCCAGAAGATAAACGACATAAGAGATTAAGAAACAAGTAGTGTATTGTGAAGACTAACAATAACAAGCAGACGAGGAGTCACAATAACGTGGCTGAAATATGTTGACCAGACCACACACTAGAAAGTGAAGGGACGACAACTGTAAATATATAGCTCTTGAAATAGAACATTCTCAGTAAGTAGCTGACATTGTAACTATAAGGGGTGAACTATAGATGTAACTGTTAATGT